TTTGTATAAGGAACATAATTTGTGCTCCTGTACTAATTAGAACCTTATTCCTTGCTTTAATTTTTCTGCTGCACCTTGACATAATGAATACAAATTTCAAGTTTCATAAATAGCACCGGATATTTCTGAGATGTACACAGGTAGGGAGCCCCCAAACCAGATCAGATACGGCTTTGGTCTTGAAATTATTCATTATTTGTGCCCAGTAAGCCATTACTATGTCAACCTGGAGTAAGACAACTTGTTATTTGCTCTGATGGTACTTTGAGCTGCTGCTGTCTGTTTTATTGGGTCTGAACGCTGAAGAAAACTAAAATACCTATCAGTGTAGAAATTATCAATAGCTGCCAAAAACGATTCCTGATGAGCTAAACTGATCTCTGACTGCCCAAGCTAAGGGATGGAGTCATTCGAATTTTGCAGCTTCGTTTTATTTCCATAGGTGAATTTACTGAGTTAAATTCAGACTTTGTGACACTTAAAAAGGAGCTTGAATCTATCAGTAAATCTACTTTATGATAATTTTTGTTAAGTGAAAATCTGGCAGAGAGTCTGAATTCCTTTCTTATTTTCATGCAGATGTTGCTTTTCCTCATAAATGGAAAAACATCTGTTTTACATAAACCCTGCAACAGCTTTACCTTTCTAGCATGCCTGGTGCTTTGACATCTGCCATCTGCTATCCACTTTGGAACTGATAACAAATCCATTTTGAGAAAGGTTTCCATAAACAATAAATGTCCTAGGTACTACAATAGTAAGTGCTAGTTTGGTTTGAAGTAATCAAAATAAAAAGTCCTTTAACAGCTCATAAAATCTGGAAAAGCCTATAGAGGAACAAAGGTGCAGACAGAAAAAAGAACAACCAAATATGCCATTAAACAGAGAGAACTGAATGGGGTGTAAACCGTGCTGTAAGATAATTTCTAAAATAGCTGCTAGACCTTCTTCTAGAATTAAAACCAGTAGAACTCCTAACAGCATGTGGAAACCATGCTGTGAGTGGAATGAAACCACAGTGTGATGAATTGCAAAGAATAATGCTTTGGACATCCATAAAATTGAAGGTTTCAAACGCTGACCACTCAAGCATCCATCTGCTAGTAACTTTTTCTTACACATAACAATAGAATGATTGATTTGTTTATTTATATGAAATCTTTGATTCTGGAGCCCTGTTTTTCTAAATATTCTCAAATACTGTCAGGAATAAATTCCAAGGAGACAGATTTCTTTATGCATAAGGATGTACAGAAGACTCATCTATGCTCTTTTAGTGCATGTTCTGTGCATTTACTTAGCTTACTGGTAACCATTCTATGTATGTCTGAAAATTGCATCAAGTTGTCTATGGAAATTCTCACCTACAAGATCTCCACATATCCGCCTCAAAACTACTTCCTGCAGTGGTTTGCCTCTTCTTTCCCTTAATCATCTGCAGAGCTTGTCTCTACTTCACATATGCATTTATTGGCTTAGCATACTCGCATGCCTACTTTATCCCACTTCTTTACATTTTTATTGTTCACCTGCTATTGCTTGGTGCGGGGCTAGTTTACGAGGCAGCCTGAAAGACCAACCTAAAAGTTGCCACAAGAAGCTTGTGTCTGGTACTAAGTGTACAATTTTATATCAAGCTTCTGGTTCAAACTCTTATGGGAAAATGATAGTTCTGTCTTTTGGGCTTTCTTCGAAGACTTTTAGGAAAACTATATAGTTAAAAAGTTTAGAGGGAAAAGGAACTGTTAAGTTCAATCCACTTCTCTGAAAACTCTAACATGATATAGTGACCTACCTTTATCTGTACTGATTAAAAAAGAAAAAAAAAGAAAAACTTTTTTTCTTCTTAAAAACAACTTGAACTCTGGAATAAAATGACCAATTTTGATTTTTTTAATTAGTAGCTCATGAAATCACTACATAGTTGAATAATTAATTACTCACAGAAGGTATCACTCATTCAGCAAAGGTATTTTAGGTAATATCTGAGATTTGCGTATTTTCAGGTATGTTTTTTTAATGCATATTGTCTCTGATTCTCTTCTGTCTAGTATTATGTAGCACACCACAGAAGTGAGGTACTGTAAGTTCAATTATGGTTTTCTCCAGTGTTAAGCTTTGAAATTTTACTTTTAGGTGAAATGATTGACTTGGTAGGAAGTAATGAAATAAATGGTAATAAATCCTGTTCTATTTAAGTATAGCTTATGTAGGAAAATTACCAGGTAAATTAGCATGTATTTTACATGTCTGGAAGGTTAAAAGACAGTGTTAGAGAAGAAAAAAATTTAGAAGAATCAATAATAAAGTTAGTACATGGTAATGTGAAATCAAAAATAGAACTAAATACATTTAAAACTGTAGGAAAAAGATACACATGGAAAACCTGAGTTCTAGAAAGATTTAGAGCAGAAACTATAGCTGCCATAATGAGCATCTGTTGTGTTATGGTGGTTAAAATTATCACATTTCTGGGGGCCATATTAAGTAGAAAAATTTCTCAGTGGGAATGAGTCACTCTGTATTTGTTAATGAAATAACTACACCAAGTATAGAATTTTTTTTCTACACCTGAAAGCCCTTTTGGAGGGTGAACTGGAACCCTAATGGTCTTAACAAAGTCAACGTTTCTTGTCTTAAGAAACATACTTAAAAAAAAAGTCAGTTAATGGCTATAGCTGAAACTTGACTAGTAAACTTTCACTCTGTCAACACTTCTTTTGATTCACTTTTTATTACTGAAAATTCTTTTTGTGAGCAGATCCCATAAATTTAAGAGGAGTTTTTGCATGATGTTAGGGTGTGATTCAGGTTCACCTTGCTGAATTCACCACTCAGTGGTGGTGGCCGTATCTATGACATAGAAAGTCAATTCCTATTTTACACTTCATTAATCAATATATGTTAGCACCTACAGTCTCTGTACACTTATTAGAACTAAATAAGAGAGAATCAAGTGGCTGCTTTACTGTCAAGTCATGCCTAAGTTTTAGTTCTAACATTTCAGGTCGCATTACCAAATACTTTCAACTCTACATGACTAACTTAAGTCAAGCCCTTACTAAGTATACAAAATGCACTTAGTAAATTACATTATAGAATCACAGAATCATAGAAACAAGTTGGAAGGGATTGTAAAGGCCACGTATTTGCAATTCGCTTGCCATGGGCACTGACATATTCCTCCACATCAGGGTGCCTAAAGCCCCACCAACCTGACTTCGAACACTTTCAGGGCATCCACAATTTCTTTGGACAACTCATTCCAGTCCCTCACCATGCCTTTCTCTATCTTTCTTGGAGGCCTCCTATAAATTCTGGAAGGCCACTTAAATGTAATATGTAACAGAATTATAGAATAATGCCTAGAGCCTTCACTTCTCTATGCTAAACATATGCAGCATCACAGGCAATAGCTACGTCTATCAAAGGAAATTCTGTCTCATCCATTTTGCAAATATATTTATGGCTTAATACAGTAACCCCATAGGAAATAAAGTAAAAACAACAAATATTCAGTAGGCCAGAGGTGACAAACATTTCAGAAGTTATTTGAGGGCAAGAAATTATAACTGATCCCTGGTCTGAGAGACTAACAGTTGAAATAGGACTAATTAGCATTTCCTCTGGGAACAATATTTGTGTAGTTATATTAATGGGACATTCCACTACAAGTCATTTCACTAGTTTTGTAGCAGTGCATCAGCATAACTAGACATATCAGATTTTGGTGATCAGTTATTTCTGTTTCAGGGGATATGTATTCATCACTCATATTTTGTGGTACCCCATCATGTGCTTTTAGAAAACCAGAAGCCTTTTTTTACACACTGAAAATGTGAGATCCATTTTCACATGCCTTCAAACTCTATGGAATTTCCTAAATTAATGTAGCTGCTTAGAAAATCCTTCATGCAGATTTGCAATTCTAAACCTTGTCTCCAGATGGAAGATATCACACTGATGGGACCAGATACTTAATATGCAAGAGCTTAAAATATTCAACGTATTTTAAGAATTCTAAATTTTTAATGCTTAAAATACCAGTCATTTTCCAGCAACCCATGCTACTTTCTGGAATCCAGTGCCAGAATTTCTTTAACAGTACACATGAAAGACCTACAGCACTGAAAACAACGAACCAGAAAGATCTGAAACATACTTTAATTAGTGTTTGGGGGTCTTAGTGTATCTGTTAAATTCAATGTTTTCAGAAGCAAAAAAGGCATATGTATTTCATATTCCTAATGTTATGAACAGTGACTGACTAGTAACAAATACTAAACTTGGAACTTAAAATGTTTAAGTCTCCCCTCTGGTAGCAGCATCTCGCATCCAGATATTCTCTTGGGGGGTGCACTCAAAAGTGGGATATGGGAGATGACCTTTGACAACTTCACTAATTTCTTTCTGTGGGACAACATTCATCCTGTCCACAAGGTTTCCTGTTTAGCTCCTGCTACCTTTCAGTTCTATTTATGAAGGGTTACACCAAGAAGGGGACTACTAGGTAGTCTATGACAAGATCACTGCTGTAGATATTTGGTACCTACTGTGATTTGTATCACCCATTTGAGCCTCAGCCATAAAGCTGCAGTTTTTATCAGAAATATCTGTGAATATATAACTGCTCTGAAGACATATGGTCAATAAATAATTCAGTTATATATCTTCCCTGCAGATTTCTCATGCACCTAACACCTATTAATGCTTACTTGGTCTGGAAACAATATTCTTTATGGCACTACTAGTATAAAAATGTACTGACTGGCAGCAGAATGTTGATTTCCATTGTGATACCTTGAAAATAAACTGTTTCCCACCCCAGTCTCTATCTACTATGCTTTCCCATCTGCTACCTGTCCAGAGATGCCTTGTTTTGTATTTTATGTCCCTAAAAACATCTATTTCCAATTATCAATTCCAGTATCACGCCAGTGTGATTATATTCATGATTGTATTTTCTCTCCCTCTCCCCCATCCCTTTGTTCTCTTTTCAGCTCTATATCCATTTACAGTCCCAAGGAGAATCCTAATGCATTTGATGCTGCTGCTTTCTTTCAGTCAGTGGGAAATTTTCTGGGGATCTTTGCTGGATCGTTTGCTATGGGATCCTCTTATGCAGTTGTCACAGCTTTAATATCCTTTATGGTTCATTTTCAGAGAGAAAATTTGTATGTGTGATATCTAAGACTATCTTTACTTTCAGATTGAACCTTTCCACTGTTCACTCAGTATTTCATAAACAGTCAAATCATAAATTGACAAGTCATTTAATTCACAAAGAACTTAAGTCAATCTCCAAATGTTACGCAAATCTCTTTAACATTAGGCATGACAGCGGTCTTTATTGTTTGTAAATAATGAGATGCTGAGGTTTTGAAGTATTCGGAGATTAAATTATGAATTTATGACTACATTAATGTATTTAAAAATTACACACTAGCAGCAATCAAAGAAAAATGCACGGCAAACTCCCAACTAGAAAACAAGACAAACTAAGCCTACCTAAAATGGAAATAAAAGGCACATATATTGCCCGGCACTTTTTGTTTTATTTTACAGTTATTCATGTAAAACACTATAAAGTAGGAATAATTCCTACTTTCATCTTTCTCATTCAGCCTCAATATAAATGTTAAACAAATGCCAGTCAATGCAGAACTGGACAAAATTAGTTTCTGTCCCCTTTTTCCAGGAAAATAAAATAAAACAAACCAATTAGGCACTAGTTCAAAAACTACAGAAATACTTCAAACAGCAGATTTGTTGAATTCATTTCTTTCATCTTCCCCCCCCTAGCCCCATCATGGGGACGATTTTAGCTTAAAAAACAGTTGCTTTTTACTTTTCCTTATTAAGTGTTTCAGCACTTGACAAAATTTACAAAGCTGTGTGACTTCCCCATGTTGGAGACAGGTCTGTTTTTCCTTCTATCTTGGAGTGCCTTCTTATCAGCAGAAGCTGCTGGTCTCACAGGTAAGTGTTGCATTTTACTGAATAAGAGCAGTTTCACAATATACCTCCTAACATGGGAAAATTGTGTGTTTATTTTGGGCATGACATCATCTTATATAAAAAGCTTCCAAAAGCCAGCTGCTGTACTAGAGATTGTTTCATTCCCAAGAAGAAATCTGTATGGACACTGAACAGTTCTACAAGAAAAAGACTTACTAAATCAGGCTAAAGTCCTCAGTCTTGTCTCCTGTCTACCTACAATTTCCCATCATTCTATTAATCCTGTTAGGAATCCACTATTTACCGCTCGCTATAGTGCCAAAGATGACAGTGAACATGAGGAACAAAATATACAGCGCTGTGCGACATACACTCTTAGGGATGATGCGGTCCTCTTCATTCGGTGGATGTCCTGGCACCTCCTCCTGGTTTCCCCACTGTCAATGACCAAATGGAGGACAGGGCTGCCCTTGACATTGCCAGTGGGGTGCAGCCACTTCTGGATTTTTCTAAAACATAATTCATCTTGTTTGGTGTGCCTATGTAAATACCTTTTACAAAAGGAGTAAGTTACTGTTGCACCCCAGTGAAAGGTGAAAAGACAGATCTGATTGCTTTTTTTTCCTATGAAATTGTGCAATCATAGTCAAGGACATACCCAGGGACTGCTTTTAGCAACATAAAGAGTCCACACAAATTAAGGCAAAAGTCCTAAATGCACATAGATTATCTAAATAACAAACTACTGCACAATATGATTTGAAAGAACAAACTTCATAATAGCTTGATCATTTTAATGGCCTTGATGCTGTCACCTTTAAAATCTAGTGCTCTAATTAATGTCATAGAAAGCCAGGGGAAGAAAACTGCTTAATGAAGTGTTAATACAGCCCATGCTGTTTTGTTTGCAAAACTGTTCAAAGCCTTTCTGAAGTCAAGAGTTATATTTCCATTGAGTTCTGAGGAACCAGCATGCTACCTCTTAAATCTTAGCCACACAAATTACTTTCAAATTAGTATTACACCTGTATCTGCCGAAATCTTTGCCTTATTAAATATAAAATCCCGTGCCCTGATTCCTGCCAAAATATTCAGGCCAATGGATACAGTGAAGGGTGCAAGAACCGAATGAAAGTCATACATTCCAACACATGGAGAAAATCAGATATCACCTGCATTAAAAGCCCATTTTGTTTCTTCATGCTTAATGACTCTTCAAAATGCGATATGATTACTAAAAAATTGCCAGAGAAGGATGATAATCACTTGCCTTCAACTGGAGGTAATGATTTCCTAAACCACTGACTTACAAGGAAAGATGCTTTAAAATACAGTCCTAGCAGAGAAGTATGCTGCGTTTCATCAAGGAGAAAATGCATACTAAGTTATACATTAAATCCAAAAAGTGAATTTGTAAGGGAAATAGTTTTACTTTTTATAGCCTTAGGTGCTCCATCAAATGTAAGTAATGTTACATTTGTTGTGCACAACAAACCGTACCCGGAAAAAAGAAAAAACTGTCATGTGTCTTTTGCATGTTGCGAGTGTGATGACAGTGAAGACTCTCCAGTTAGTCAGTATGAAGAGCATTTTATTTCTCTTTTGCTTTACAATATATTAAATACTTAAAATAAAAAGCTTAATTGAACAATAAGAAATTCTTACACTAGCCTTGGCAAGGAATTTTAAGCATACTTACATTACAAATATTAAACATAATATTATAATATAATATAAGCAACCCTGTACACAGGGGGCTTGAAACTAGATGATCACTGTGGTCCTTTTCAACTCAGGCCATTCTGTGATTCTGCATGATTCTGTGATTAATTGCTTACTCTCCATCTCATTAACAAAATTTTTAACTGATCAAGAAGTCAATAGTCTATGAAAGATTCCATGATACATGTGGGTATTTAATGTCCACCTCAGTTAGGCTCTCTGCATCTACAGCTGTTTTAACTAAGTAGATACTCAAACTGAGATATATATACATGTACATATCTTCAGAAATGCATTCAAATCTATGTATGTATGCGTTTAATGCATATTTCGAAGTCACATAGAATTTAGCAGTGTAAAAGCATCAGAATCAATTGCTCTACTTCTCTAGTGTCTCCTGAACACGTGTGAGATACTGAATGAGTTGTGTAGGTAAAGAAGGATTTCTTAAAATCTTTTCTGCTTTTTATTTTACATGCTAAACAAAGACCTATTCTATGAATCTCAGACAATAGGTCTCAAAGGAAAATTTTGGAGGAGATCATCCATCCCAGTCCAAAATGTTTTCTGATTTTTATGAAGGAAATAGTTTGTGATAATAAATTATTGCTGCTCCCTCACCCCCTGCAATTCTTATCTGAGTGTTTCATGATGTATCTGACACCTACCTTCTAATTCAGGGGCTAACATGGGAGTACAATCTACCTAATTGAGGAGGGTTTTCCTCCAAAAATAAGCAAGCAGTTTAGCAAGAGACAGATATACCTAGTCAAAAAAGAGACTCCAAATGAGCTGGTCCATTGGGCGGTTTTGGGCTACCTTTGTAATTAGGGTATAGCAAGAACAAATGCACCAATTCCCAGTTCCTTTATTAATGCTGATTAAGTGCATTAATCCCCGTGGCTGTTCACTGCTCCCATCTGTTTGCTGTAATTTGCCTCAGATCCATCCTTTACTTCATTGCCTTATTGAACTGTTGGGACCAGTTCTTCACCTTTTATCCTTGTCAGAAGGGATTATCATATATCCTTCCCTCTGCAATTCTGAGCAGTGCGAACACAATGCAGTTCGGTACCCAATTGTCTACACATGCTTTGCTGACATAAACGCTAGATCCAATACTCTGCAGTTTCAGTTATCCCCCTTGTCCTTGTAACAGCCTCACCTGACTAGTCTATATGTATATATATATATATGTATACTTCAGCCGGTGCTTGGGTTTGGCCAACATGGGGGTTGCTGCTGGTACAGCATTTTAAGACAGTAGAAGAAGAGGAGAAAGGTGTTTGCTTTTACTGAAAAGGGCAACATGTTCTTGCATGGCATTAGGCTGAGACTGATGATCAGTTGCCTAAAATTAAAACAGTAACACTAAGCTGAGGGTAAGAATCCACGTAAATTTGAGGTGTTACTCCTAGAAAATATTGTAAGCATAAACAGAATAACTCCTAGCATGTCTACAATAAAACCTAGCATGTCTCACCACAGGAATTCCAACCTAAACTGAATGCAGTAATGTTTTTAGAGTTACAGAAGTACAACATTGAAGCTCTGGTCATATTTGAAGTAGACAGGGGCAGTATCATGGCTTATTCCTCAGATGAGGACACACAAGATTCCCTCAGATATGTCTTTTGTTGTTTTCTGTCACCTTAATTCACTTCAGCATAAAATCAACTTAAGACAACTCCAGCGATTAAAGCCCTGTGAACAAAGCAGGAACTCTGGCTCTGCATTGGTGTGGGTCCAGTGAAAGACGACTTAAACCTTTGCTTCAGAATTAAGAAAATGATCAGTCACATTCTGTATCCACACTGAAAACAAACTGAATAGGGATATTATCGCTGTTGGGTTCATAGCCTTATTACTGCAACAATTTGATGCAGAAGACAGTGTCTCATTTCCTGTCACAGCCTCAGATTGCACTGGAATATGCATTCTAAGCTGTGTGGAGATTTTCTGACACAAATATAACTCCACATTGTTTGATTTATATAAACTCTCCTGTCTTTTCCTACATTTCTCTGCCTTTGGTACAGGATTGGTTCCTCTCACTTGTACTTTGGCACGTGAATGTTAGGAATCATTAAGAGGCATCCCTGAAGCTCTGGAACACTTCAAAGTTGTGATGAAAACCTGTCAATTTACCTGCACGTCTTTCCACAAATTCTACATTTTATCTAGTCATTCCCTCCTTTGTTTCCCCAGAAGGTAGGGTATTGGGTTTTGTTTGTTTTCTAAATTCTTACTTCTACCATTAAAGGACCTGACAGCCTCAGACACAATGACAGGGTTTTTTTTCCTCTAAAATTACCAAATAATGTTCAAGTTTTGTCCCGTCACTTCTAGACTTGCATTAAAAACACACTCGAGACATGCAGCACCTCTCTGAGAAAATACGGGATTTTATTCTCCATTATAGCACCAATTAGTGAAATATGAGGGTATATTACTTTGTCTACTTGTGAAATATTACATAATGGATATTTGTTCTCTTTTGCTCACAATAGAAATTTTAAGATTAGCATTTATTTTTTTACACATGTTAACATTTGGCCTTCCTATATTAAATCCCTGAACATTAACAGGAATTTCAACTACAAGTATTCAGTAAAACTAATGTAAGATCTCAAATTACATTAACTGCTAATAAGCGGTTTCTCTGTTAGATAAGGAGCAAAAAAATCCAGCACAATGGTATGCTTTTATGCTTAATCAAACTTCTTCAAAGAGCTTAAGCTGCAGCTGAAACTTCTCTGGTGTCCAGCAACTGTGATGTGAGGTTTCCCATTTTTTTACATCAAGTGAAAATTGTCAGTAACTTTATCTATAGAGAGACAAGAAGCTGTAATACACTCAACAGCTCATTTCCCATTTCATCTCTAAACTTCTGCTCAGGTTAACCTGCACTGCAAGTGTAGTACTAAAATTGTCTGTAATCGCTGACTTTGCCACTTAACAAATGACATACCGTAACAACACTGAAATTGAGCCAGACTCCAGACCCCTGAAATTACAGCACTAGCTGGTAGAGGGGACCATTTCACTTTATCTGCCTCGTTGCATCTAATAAATTCTTCCTGTTTACAATTTCAGCATTATCACATTTGTTCTCCTCTATTTCTTTTTTTTTTTATAAAAAAATAAAAAAAAAGCCTGCAAAAATTTGATAACTCAATTTATGTTCATAATCTATTTTGCAATCCAACTAACTTCAGAAATCAGCTTCTATAGTCTTACAAAGAAAGAAATCCAAATTTCATTTATTTTATTCCATCTAATAAGACCCCTGTTCACCTCTTGAGGTACTGTGCTCCTTTATTCTTTACAGTTACACTAGCATGCAATTGATCATTATCACCCTTAAGTTACCATTTTTAATAAAATGGAATTTTTTGCAAGCTTTTTAACGAAGCATTCATTGTGAATGGCATGGCAGGCTAATACTTATTTCCAACAGTAGCAACTGAAATATTCCACTGCGTTCCTGGCTTTCTGGTTTCTATGCTTGCATAATTACAAGGTTTGGATAAATTATTACTATTATAAAATCAGATTTAGGGTATTTTGTTCTTTAGGTCACTCTCTCAGTTCTCTTGCTGCCAATAATTAACAGTTTCTTAGCAGTCCAAAAACACTGTACAATCATCAGTGAACTTAATAGTGAATTTTTTTAAATACTAGACTTTTCAGAATGATGATTTGAATAAAGTGAACCACAAACTCTCATCTCTTTTCCAGTTACTGAGCCCCAAGCTAGCAGTACTTAGGAACATTACTGACTAGGTATGATTTTTATTTTTTTTTTTAACTGAATCTTCACTGTTTGAGCATCCCATTGCATACGAGAGCACCTTGAGAACTCACAAACTCTCCAGATTACATCTGCACGATAGTACACTTAGTGGGGAAAAAAAAGATTTAGTCTTAATTAAGAGATCAGTTATACCTCAATAAGAGCAATGAATTTCCTGGAACATATTTGGACATTTACAGCCTCACCACTACCAACATTACTTACTGGAAAGAAAGGCCTTAGTGCAGTTAGAATAAGTAAATAAATATCTAAACAGGCATAAGAAAATAGGTACAGTAAACAAGGACAGCAGCTAAAGCTCAGTATGATTTCTCTTGGCTACAGAGACTGTGTAATGTAGAAAAAAATACAGACAAGTTTATGATATAAAGAAAGCCCAGATGCAAAGAAAATGTTCGTGCTGTATCATGGGGAAGAAAAAAGCAAAAAGATTCGCTGTATCATTTTCTTCCCTGGTGCTAAGCACAAGTTACTATTGTGCTCCTCCATCTTTCATCAAGTGCATTTTAATGCCTGGCCTTTCTACTTCCCTGCAACAAGAGAGGCTTGCAACTCAAACACAGTTGGGTTTTTTGGGCAGTATTTCCACAGTTAGCAATCCAAAGACTCAGGAACTTGAGAAAAATATGATAAAGTGATGATGACTAACTGGTATGGGTTGATGTGATCTTACCCCACATGTGTACTCCCTCAAGTGAAATAGACAGCATTATCCTTTTTCTTGTTTTCTTACCTCTACCTTGAATTAGAGAAAGAGGATATTCCATCTACTACAGAATCTCTAAAACTAGAAGGCTAGGTTCAAACTTAGAGGTTTGAATAAACTCTTTAAGAAACTATTGGGCGACTATGTTAAGCTTTGTCTACTTCTATTAATCCTTTTGAAATAACAGATTGTTTTACACTGATTTGCTGTACTAAAGTCCACAGTGCTGTAGATTCTGTCCTCCAAGTCCCTTCTTGCCAGCCTTTGTAATTTCAGTAGCCACAGTGCTGAAGTAGATGAAGGAAGTCTTATCCAGACTCAAGACCAAGATTGATGGCACAGAACTGGATTATATTTCACAATTTTAGTTCATATTGTTTGTTTCCAGTAGAACCTATTAATATGATTCAGTTCGTGCTAATTTAACACTGTGAAATTCTAGAAAGTCACTGTGTAGTCACACTGCATGACCCTGGGCCTATATATTTTTGCTTCCTTTGTTGCTTCAGTGAGTTTTCCAGAATTCACCAGCACTATTTCAGTACGTCAGCATCTATGAGCTAAAAATTACCTAACAATTCACAGAATAGTCCACAAGGAAGAATTTTAGTGCCAATTCAGACATGCTGTAGATCTTAGATGGGAGGCAACAAGTAGAAGGGGTGAAAAGCAAAAGATCTAAAACACTTAAAATGGATGGCAGAAAACTGCCTGTATCAGAATCCTGAAGATGACAGGCCTGCTATGATCATCCTGCAAGCTAGCTCTGTACAGAACCAGTGGATGTTGTGGAGGTGTGCGTCAAGAAACCACACAGAACTTGCATGCTCTGTGGGCTTCAAGAAATGTGGGTGGAGGTTTTCATGGAAATGGTGATTGGAATGAGCATGATGAACAAGCCCTGAGCTGTGGTGCAAGTAATTACCAGGTAGACATGCCCTAGGCTTAAAAAAGAGACATAGTTTTTTTCTTCTATGGATATTTACATATGGACACTGGTAAGCATTTATTTCTGAATTTCTACTTTCTGTGTGGGTTCTTTCTGCTTTTCCTGTTTCCAGAGTTGGAAAAAAATTGAGATTACAGTCATATCAGCTACTCTAATTAAAATAGTGCATTGCAGTGATGCAACTCGATGGTTCTAGTGATATAGGAGCAGGCTCAGCATTGAGGAGAAAGTATTTAAAAATCTCCATCAGTTCCATCCCTGCCAAAATTTTCATCTAGTCTGAAGTCCTTCATATTGGAAGTATGTTAATCTTGCCTAATGGTGAGATTATGATTAGATACCATCCAAGGAGGTTATCAGGTTTGCTGGGCAAATTGAACAGCAGCAGCAGTGCTATAAATGTGTGATAGCCATGTTGAAGATTCAAGATCTCTATGATTTTTAGCAAAGAAAAAAAATATCTACTTTGAAATATATTCTTATAAAACATATCTCATTGTTCTTTTATTACAAAAATCCTTTCAGCAATCTAGTAACCTTTTTTATGCAGCCTTTTGAAAAATCTTAGAAAGGAAATAGAAGCTGCTAACCATCTTTTCTTTGCATTTCAGGTATTGTTGCAGTTCTTTTCTGCGGAGTCACACAAGCCCATTATACCTACAACAATCTCTCATCAGATTCCAAAATGAGAACTAAACAGGTAGGATATGGAAATAACACTGTGTCTTCAACATGTACAAGGAATAGACAGAATCTGAAATACAGCTGGATGGAATTCTGTTAGTGCAACTGAAAAGGTCCATGTCTTCAAGAGGGAAAGATGAGATTTTTCTGGGGAAAAAGTAACAGTTCTCTGGCCAGACAAAAATGTAATAATCTGTTCTTCCCAAGATACCTGCAATGTCACTCAAGGAGATAAAGTGTAAGGAGATAATAGTTCAGATCAATTTCCATAGAAAAAGGCCACAAGTTTAAGAAAATCCAAGAGCTCCACTAAACAAGAGAAAAGCATTCTGGAAGGTTAGATCCATGTGCATTTTCGTAACTAAAAACTGCAGTCCAGCCCATTGTCTTTAGTGATGGCATCACTTAATTTCTACTCTGTTAAAAATCTGCTGTAATTACAAAATAGTAAATAATAAAATGGAAATTATTTTTAAGTTCCAAGATGAAAACCTACAGGACCTGTTTTAGTTTGAACGAGTAGTAAAATTGCTGAAAAGCATGGGGCTGTTCTCAGTACCAAAGAGATGGCATTGCAATGTTGGGAATTCCCAAGCAGAAGGATTGGATTCTTCCCAGCAGAAGGATTAAAGTCAGACTACATTGTTGCTCCCTCATTCCTGTGACAAGTCATTTGAATGTTGTTTGCTTCACTTTCAATGTTGATTTGTATGTCCCAAATACCTCAGACTATAGAAAATCCGTCTCCTGGAACAAAATGAAAATATATGGTCCAATGCTACAATTTCCATTAAGCAATCCAGTAACTTTTTCAGCAATTCCTCTGTTTTAAGCATTAGAAATAGAATACAGAAACTTTTACCTCATCTTGCACATCTCAAAATCAATTTAATCAAAAATCCAATTTTCTATCAATAACAGTTTGATAGAAAAAAAAAAAAAATGCTGGCCACAGTATTACTTCAACTGTCAGACTCTTACAGATTTTAAATCAGAAAAAGTTTCCAGTCAGTACTTGCAGAATAAAATGTTAGCAAGTGAACAAGATAGGTCTTATCAATTGCATTTCTTCGTACCAGGGGAGGCTGAGAGGCTGATGCTTTGAGAAAATTTTCTAGCAGAGAAGGGGACCTTTCTCTAGTGAATGTGTTACAAGAATAGCATTTATATCTACTATAGAACTGCTTTTATTTTGCAGAAATACTGAATTCCATATAGTATTATTACACTTGCATATAATTGTTAAACTTTGAATACAGATCCCTATTCCAGGGATTCATCTGCATGATTTAGTGATACATAGCCAGAGAGAGATTGGCCATTGAAATTTTAATTACATATGAATCTTTTCAACTACAGAAATAACCAACATTTAGTTTAAATGCATACTGGCTTTGTTTGTTTTCACGCTTTTATTTCCAGTCATTCAGTTCCAAACGGAATACTGAAAACAGGTTGAATCTATGCTTGAATACACAGGAAAAAAACTCCGTATTTCATTATGAAACTATGAGTTTTATGCACTCCTTCTATTCCACTTTTCTCTTCCAGCATAAGCTCCAAATCCACAGCATCTCTGAGGATAGTTCAAAAACTCCTCTGAATTCTTCTAATTTATTTTCTATTCCAGATTTCCCTTTCACACATAGCTGTTTCAGTGAGATCCACACTCCCCTTTTCTTCCCTTCCCTCCAAGTATTATCTTGAAGAAAATTTACTAAACCACACACTTTATCATGATCATAATTATGTACGACATTATTGCATTACAAATGGATGTTGTTGCTAAGACCGATGGCCTCGCTCCCAAATTAAATCATTTTTATTTCTATTTACTGGCCAAAAAGATGACTTTTTAGTTCATTTATATAATTATTCCAGGGCACTCTTTTTTTTTTTTAACAATAGGACTGGTCTTTCAGTATGGACTGGCGAGCTGCAGTGCGCACTAACAAGACAATGAGTTGGGACTGAAGTTAAACTAATAAAAAAAAAAAATCAGAAATGGGATATAAAACTGTAAATCAAACTGTGAAATCAGGTTATTTGCCTAAAGACTAATGCTTCTTCCCTATTGTCTTGCATAATTTTATTTACAATTTCTACTGCCTGTTAAAATTTCATAGCTCAATGATAAAATCCAGTATACAGTGACAGTGTTTGAGGCTGTGCTGCTGAGTTCTGCATTTCTCATAATACATCATCATTTGCTCTAAAGAGCACATGAGAAAAAAGACAGGTATGATTTTCTTCATATAATAATATCAAATTAAAGCCTACCTTTTGTTCTTAAACAAGAATTTGGAGCTCTATTAAGAGCACCTGTTAAAGGATGCGATATAATTATTAGTCCTCATGTATTCTTTATTATCCAGTCCATCACTGCCTAACATCTGATAAAAGAGAAATATTACATTTTAAGGATCTGAAACTTACAGAAGCTGAAAGTAGCAGGTAATGGAGATGTTGTCATAGACAATGGATCATTTTAACGCTGCCGTAAGAGGAAAGATTTAGTGAAAACACAGATTTTAGAGAGTTTTCATTCGATCCAAATGTCCCAAGTCTCACTAAATATTGATACAAATTCTCCCTGTGTTCTTACTGCTTGTTTATTATCATGAGTAATGTTTAATGGTAGTATTTTTAAGTCATCATCATCAACCTGATTAACATATATCATAATTACATAGCATTAAAATTGACACCCCTTCCATGCCAACAAGATTTGGTCAGAGAGCTCTTGAGCTCAATGCATATAGTTTAATTTGTCCAGTATATCTCCAGTGAAGGAGAAAGTGGGACTGCTAACACTTTATCAAAAGTTATTTGATCTTGTGCAGTTTTATTTAGAATTATTTACAGCCACTAGTATAACCTCACAAAAAGCTGCAGGCAAATATCTGCTTCCAAATCTTAGGACGTTATAGTCCAGATTTCACACTGGGTACCTCAGAGTTACAGTTCTATTGGTCTGATTTGCTTAGGTACAAGTAAATCGGGGACTAGACAGGATGTTGCTAGATAAAGAGAAATTACCTGTTTGCTGACAGTGGGCAGACCATAAATTTGTACAGCTCAGCTCTCGAACAGGACTCATGGACAATACTGTATCTTCCACAGGAAGATAGATATTCTTAACTATTTTTTAATTTTTTTTTTTGTCTCCACACTGCAGCATTTTCACTCAAACACCAGGTGTAGATCAGCATATTTTCCTAATGATGAAGTATTAAGTTTTTAACTTTTTCTAACAGCTATAAATATCCAGACTTATGAGTTAGCTCATTTCCTAGTTGTTTTGTTGGGGGGG